TTAAATGTTTACCTTGAGATGAATTATGTTCTAGTTATGTAGAACGCACGAGTGGGTTTTTCAAATCCATAAATCTTATTCTCAGTGGAGTGAGAAATTGACTGCAGATGCATGTTTGCCCTAAAAAAATCCTTGCATCCATTAAATTGTCGGTCAAAGCGGAACAAACCGTCCACACCCCTGTTAAGTCTGAAATTCCTCGGATTTCGATATTATTTGCGATTTGTTAGTATAAGACATGTTTCATAAGTCCAAATTTGGACTAATTCAGCTGGATTTTGTTCATCTAAACGCAACATTCGCATACGATCGATATCTCGTGTATAACAACACAGTACAAAACGAGTCGTGTAACAGGTACTGTTAACAACCTCATTCCAAATGCGGATTTGTAAAATAATGGATTGCGAAACGCATTTTCCTCGAATGCATGGGCACAGTCGAGTCCCGTATAATAAGAGCTAATGTGAAAGAATGTAGATTTTTTTATTAGCCATCAGGAATAAATTATTTTTTAACTGTACATAAAACTGCCATCAATTTGATCGAGTCCGTATAATCCTTTGATTATAGTGTAAAACGCATTTCACCGACACGAGTGCAAGCAAATCAATGCTCGCAGTGATAATATTTGTTGAAGGACAAACATTTTTATTGCTCCATCACAACTCTGAGCATTTAAAACACATTGGTATTATTAGACAATAAATGTTACCATATTTTCAATGAGATGTTTCACTGGATTGGCTGGGGTGTCTATGAAGATTTTCTCCTCCACGCTCCATCGAAAAAAAAAAAAAAAAAAAATTGTTTCACCACAGGTGTCGAAACGCCAAAAAGCCAATAGGTTCTTCCATTAGAAGAATTACTCGCCCACCTTGGATCTATACGAATATTACATCCAAATTAGAGGGATAGGAAAAAAAGGTGTCCACAAGCAGGTGAAATTGGCAAATTGGCGGTTCGTCATGTGATGCAAAAATAGTCAGATCAACACAAAAAAAAGGACCTGAAACAGCCTTGCCTCTTAATCTGGAATCGCGCGCGGGTATACCTATAATAATACACAAAGCAGCAGGTCGCGGAATTACATCGCGGGCGGTATATATGTCCAGTAAAGTGGCCAACGGGGCTTGTTAATGTGTGTATATTTCGTGCGCGTGGGCATGATTTTCAAACTATGTGGAGTATGTAACAGCAAGGAAATACGTATGTAGCCAAGTGGAATGTCGAGATGTAGGAAAAAAAGGGGTGCGTGTGCGCGAGCCAAGAGAGTGTGGGAGTGACTTTTTTTTATTGTTTTATACGGACAAAAAAAGTTCGATAGTTGCGCGATGTCGTTTTGTGGTTCCTTTTTTTTTTTTTTTATGTCTTTATGCGTACGCGGTGTATTACGCGCGTGAAATTTTTTTGGCGGTGTGTCATGATTGTACTGGCGAGTTTTACCAACTGTTGCTCCAATTGAGACATACTTTCGTTGAGAAATTTTCCCCCTTTTTTTTCGTTATTTCTAATTTGGTCTAGGGGTAGTGGGTTTCAAGTACAATAATTGAATGGGTAAACGATACAAAAATATTGAGAAAATACTGTTTGTTGGAAAATAATTTGATCAAAAAATTCACTGGAATAATAAGAGAACTTTGAATAATGTAAAATTGATTTTATTAAAAAGTAATACAACTGTATAATTAAGGTGACTTGAGGATACTTGAAATAAATTTTTGTTAAAGTAGCAAAAATTTATAATATTTAGGTGTCCATATAAAAATCCATGCCTTTGACAGCAGCGTCTCGTTTTGAAGTTATGTAATTTATGTTCTTTAATAAGCTTTGGATTACTGTCACTTAATGTTTGGATACTGACTATTGGTAAAAAAAAAGAAAAACATGTTATTTTTGGTACGAAATTTCTCAAAGTTTTATTATCTTTTTGTTATTTTCGGTTTGAAATATTCCTACTTGAGAACTAGTGAAGTTAACAGAACTCATAATTTGGTCTAAGATACAAGTTACTGTCACATAATTAAAATATCCATTAATATAACTCATATGAACAAATTTTAATATCCTGGATTTCTAAAGATATTTAAAATATCTAAAAATATCTTTTATTAATGGAACAGCAAGGGACGAAATAACGCGAAAATGATATGTAGTGACTAGTGTAAAACATATCTACATATTTTGTTGAGTTTCCAATTGCACTTTAACTACCTCAATACAGTTGTTCAGGCTTTAACTCTTCAAGAATAAAAGAAGAGTATTTTAATTCATCTTTACCATGTAAGTAAGTAATTGCAAAAAAAATTTCTTTTATTGAACAGAAAAATCATTAGTAAAAAATTAAAACAAAAATTCTACAAGTAAACGTAAGTTTTTTTATTTTTAAGCCACGATAAATAAGCAAGAGCTACCACTTCTTAGACTTACGTATGTTCAAACGAAATTTTTTTATGTTATTTATCATAAAACACAGAATTTATAACAAAACTGGATTACTTGACCTTTATGAGAAAACAGCTATTACACGCTATAAAAGAGCACTCGGTGGATCATCTCAAACTCGAAAACTAAACGTCAACCTTTATTAAGTCACGGATACAACCAAACCCATTAATTAAAGTCCCAAGCTAATTGTCCACAAAAGTTTTTGCGATAACTTGTTAATGACCTATATATTTAAAAAAACATTGACACGGAAAAAACGTGTTATTGCGAGGAAACGCCAGTAAACATATCCATCACCAAGTGTTCCGTAAGACACCCATTGCGTTACGTACCACGGAAGTTTGTGTCACCGACCTGATGTGCGAATGATAAAAATTGAACAGCTAATAAAATCTTTTTTCGCCCAAGCAAAGTACAGTTATTTGTTACCTATATCGAATTGAAAAAAAAATCTCGCAAGGTTCTCGTGTAATGTCGATTTTTCATAGCACGTACATATACACACAGAGGCACATGTAACGGAACGTGCGGAAAACAGGGAGATGGTGCGCAAAAATTCCAGAACTGAGGCACGCTATTAGCAAATTATCGATTCCTCCGTATACGCTTATTATACATTCCAAGTGCCAAACTGCGTTTATTATTATTTTTTTCCCCTGCACAAGTACCTGTATGTATATATATATATATATATATATATAAGTTCAAATACACCATCAAACACATTGTTGAAATCTAGCGGCTTCATCATTCAAACTCCATCCAACAAAACTATACCATACACTGTACATTGAATCCAATAAAGATTCACCTACCATTGCCCATAACCACCCACAGTAGCACCGTTTCATTACGTTTTCTCCTTGCCATCGTTCCATAACACTCAAATGCTTGCTTGTCTATGGAAAGCCCGTGTAAAATCGGGGTAGTGCCAAATACAGATCCATGAACGCACGCACCAACCAGCAGCCCAATGTGGTTTGTTGGGTCCGTTTGGAAAGTTCGGAGGAGGAGGAGGAAGAAAAGAGCTGCTCCCTCGCTATTGCGTGACTACGTCGTTATCACTCCCGTGAACATGTAATATCGACTAATATGCGCTTGCCAGCTTTCTCGTTTACGTAAAGGCTACTATTGATAAGAGCGTTGATATATACCCACGTCACAGCTACAGGACACTGCTCTAACGTCATATGTCCATGCAGAGATTTACGATTTCGGGACGGACAGCAGGACCACTTGGTTCGTTTTTTTTTTTTTTTTTTTTTGTTCATACGGCATTCTATGTTTTCTTTTCCTTTTTCTTCGGGGATATCATTGGCTTTGACATATTTGTCACTATATTTCATTTGCATCGTATTTTCGTTCCGTTCTTTTGGAACCGTTTGCAATTGCGTTTACGGGTGGAATCATTACGTTTTCCTGGAACAGCTGATCCCAAACAATAATTAGCTCCGCGATGATCCCAACCTACCACCGTCTCGAGAACCAAATCGGAGAAATTGGTGGGTACAAAAGAAGATGAAGAAACACCAACACCCAATAAAGAGATGCTCTCGGTTTCTCGTTGGCACGTAACTGCTCGTCGTCGGGGTGTCTCAATTTCCCCAAGCCAGCAGGTGCTCCCGTCAATTTCTCCGTATATACTTACCAGGTTGCTGGCGTGGGCGCGATCATCGTTTTCATACACTCGACGTATGCATGCACACTTTACGTAAGCACCCACACGCGTTTCGTGTTTACGGCCCATTATGACCACACAACCAACTGTTATGTGGAACGGTTCTGCTTATTTTCGCGTGATCGGCTTACGTCAGTTTTGCGAATGCTCCCTCTCGCGTGCGCACACAGTCGAGAGGCGTCCTTTTTTTTCGTCGGGTGTTGTTAATTCATCGGTGTATGCAAATTACTGGTAAATGCGTCTTTTGCCTCAAGTATAGATCGTTAATCACGCATAGCTGGCTGGATCGGGGTGTCAGTGGTAAGTGCACGCTTTGTACAGCCACTGGATGCGGCTCTTTTCTTAACAGCCTTCGTCCCCACGATAAAAGGACAATTTTATTACCCGCGGAGCACCATCGGATGATGAAAAAAAAGGATGTGGTTTTTGTTTTTTGTTTACTATCAAAAATATATTTGCATCATTGTATAATATACATCAGTATTACACCAGAGTATACATGTATGATAATGATTTCGGTAGGTACGATTGCGTATGTAAAGTGTGAGGATCAAAAAAAAGGAAAGAAAAAAAAACAATGATCTGCTTCGTTCTGCGTATACGTGAGTGCGGAGCTCGTATACTCCGGTCGGAGTCGTTCTTGCGTACCTTTCTGCGTCTTATCCATTAGGTATACACCTACATGCCAGAAACTCCCGAATTCCCAAAGAGCTGCTGATGGTAGAGAGCGACCAGGAAGACGGAGGGGGAAAAAACAGTCTCGGAGCTACAATATAGTACACGCTAAATAAGAAGAAGGAAAAGGGGCATCATCAGCAGCCACGTGTCATCGGCGACGGCTCGTTGCACCCCACGACAGCAGAAAGCGGGAAAATCGGGCTCATGAGGATGGGAAAGGGGGACTCGGGTGTAACACGTGTGTTTGTACGTGTGCGGGGTGACGGATAAAATTACGAGAGAAGGGGGTGGCAGTGATTTTGCAACGACGGACTCGTCCTGTCGCGTAACGAGCGGCTAATAGCTCGTTGTCGTCGGTGCGGCCTCCCCCACCAGTCGGGCGTCTCAGTAGTGAGGATAGGCGATCTCGGGCCCGTGATGGCTGACCTTGGACAGCTCCTCGGCGTAGGCGTGGAAGTGCGCGGCCTTGGCGTGGGCGACCTCGGGGGTGTCGACTACGCGACCGTCGTGGGCGAGGGGAGCCGGTGGGCCGTGGTAAGCGTGGTGCTCGGGCTCGGGGTGGTGGTAGCTGGCCACGGGGTGGTGAACCGGCTCGTAATGGGCCTCGGGAGCGGCTGGTCCGTGGTGGGCGGTCTTGGACAGCTCGTCGGCGTAGGCGTGGAAGTGCGCTGCTTTGGCGTGGGCGACCTCGGGGGTGTCTACCACGCGGCCGTCGTGGGCGAGAGGCGCCAGGGGGCCGTGGTACGGGGCGAAGGCGTGCACCTCCGGGCCGTGGTGGTAGCCTGGCCGTGCGAAGACGGCCACTGCGAGGGTCGAGATGACGATCTGCAAGTGGAGTGCGTTTTTGGTGTTGGTTGTAAAAAAAGTTATTTGTAAAAAAAGACTGTCATTTTCTTCATATAAAACTTATTAGTCAAAATCGTGCATAGCTTGAGATTCAGAAGTTCACGAATACATGAACTTGCTTTTGCTGTGCAACGAATGAACAAGTGAACTTCCTTGTTCAAATTAATTTAAAATCTACCATGACAATAGCTGATATGGTCGTAAAAAATAATAAAAGCATATAAACTGTTTTACAACAAAGTAGTTTACAATCATTATTAGGGTCATATATTGTGATTTTTAAGTTCGCGAGAAAATTGTTGTCCTTCAAGTCAATATGTCACGTAATTATAAGGGGTCACGAAAAAAAGTTGGTAGAGACTGCACTATATATAGATGCTAGATATTTTTCTTTAAGATCTTTTAGTACAAGTTCAAAGCTCAACTGGCTCTATTACATCACAAATTTGTATGCCTTCTAAAGCGAAGATTTATAGTTTTGTAGCTTTACATTTGAAAAAAAGCAGCCCTTTGTGTCTAGCTGCCAAAAAACATTTATTACTTCTTCTTGCGATACGTATGTTTTTTAAAAAGTTTGAAGCCACTGGTTGAAAAAAAGTTTCTTTTTTTCTATTAGAAAATTTATTGTTATTAAATTTAAAAAAAATCTCATTTAAAAGTAAATTTCAGCACTGAGAGTTTGAGCTTTAACCATAAATCAATTATCTTACAAAAGATCTTACTTTTTGATCTATCACGGTAAAAAAGATTTATCAGAACTACTAGATTTATATTCATGAATAATAAGTTTTAAAGTCTTCAGTTGTTAATGTCGTACGTGACAACAGTTACTTTGTTCATAAAATTTGATGCAGTTCGAGAAATAAAAGTATACATGAAATAATATCGAATCCACCACTCTCATGACATAAAATTTACCATCACATTAATAATATCTGTTGCATTCCCGATGCCATAAACTGTTGGCTAAAAGAGAAAAAAAAAAAATTCTGTTTCGAGTAAAAGTGACTTTTATCGCCCTACAAAAAGGCCTACGATCATTTGTTTGCTGTAATAGCCCATTAAGCCCATTGTTAGAGCCTACGTGAGCCTGACAAAGGAGGGTCTGCTGTATATAATCTACGTTGCTCAACACTGACATTCAGTCTTCGTTTCATCCAATGGGTGTTGGTACGGGGTTCCCACCTTCTCTAGCTTTTTTATCCATATAAATGAAAAGTTCAAAAAAATTTTGACTCCAATAAAAGGGCTTGATACTCTACACCACTCGACTCGATGGAAAGTACAAATACATGTAACGTAAATTATTGAGCAACTGTATTTATTGGAAAAATAAAATGTTTCGTGATTGTAACTCTAGCTTTTTGTGGGATAAACGAAAGTTTCGACGATTGTTGATTTCATACAATGAAAATTCACTTGATTCGTGACGCGGTAAATTATGGAAACCATCGGTATTAAATTGAACACACCGTCATGTATAGTCATTCTTGTTTGATAGACGCATAGGTTTAATTGGTAATTTTTTAAGTTTATTCGACAAACAATTAAAAATTTTCATGTGCATAAGAAAAAGTATATCTCATCCCAGATTGCCTTTCAATACGTTCCTTGTACCAAGCGACAAACGAATACGCGATATTAGCGCTCAACTTTCACGAGTAATAAAATAGTGTAACCACTAATTGAAATAAAAATATTTGCACAAAGATGCATCGAAAAATCAAAGATAACGTTGGAGAAAAATTACGGTAGAGGCTAAATTTCACACGCTACTATCAAACTGACTTATCTCTTATTACGATTTAACGCTCGTGAGCAACGTGTGCAGGTACAGGACGCCAACCGTGACTCGTGCTTCTTTACACCCACGTAATTCGATATTACGCACGCTTGCTTCAATTCGTAACACAAGAGCCCCAAATACTCTATTAATGAAAGGAATATGAAAGCAAATGATGGTGCATTATGTAATTTTCTACCTGCATTCTTAGCTTTAGGAACAACCTGTTTTCGGTCGATTTTTTTTTTTAAATTAATTTAATAAATTTTTTATTAATACAGCTAAACATAACACAAGCTTCGCACATTTTTATTTCCGCCTTCATTACGAAATTATTATTTATGCTTACTTGCAAATACTTAATGAATTATTATCAATCAATAATAATTAAAATGCACTATTTAAAATATACAAAAATTGATGTTAATTAATGCTGAAAAAAGCTCATTTCGTTTATCAAGATCTTTTCCACAATTTTCACGTACAAGTGTAAGCTAATCAAATATTTTAATAGGAGGTGCCAACTTCATCTCACGAATATTTTCATTAGAGATTGAAAGAAAAAACATTGGATTTTTATTTAATAAATCTCTATACTTTTAATCTTCCACCGAATAGAATTTTTATTTCTGCTTATTTTCGCGTGATCGGCTTACGTCAGTTTTGCGAATGCTCCCTCTCGCGTGCGCACACAGTCGAGAGGCGTCCTTTTTTTTCGTCGGGTGTTGTTAATTCATCGGTGTATGCAAATTACTGGTAAATGCGTCTTTTGCCTCAAGTATAGATCGTTAATCACGCATAGCTGGCTGGATCGGGGTGTCAGTGGTAAGTGCACGCTTTGTACAGCCACTGGATGCGGCTCTTTTCTTAACAGCCTTCGTCCCCACGATAAAAGGACAATTTTATTACCCGCGGAGCACCATCGGATGATGAAAAAAAAGGATGTGGTTTTTGTTTTTTGTTTACTATCAAAAATATATTTGCATCATNAACTTAAATTTCTTTTTTTGAAAAAAATATTGAACGTAATAAGGGTAAAAAATTATTTTCTTGTTTCAAAGTAATCAAGTGCTTAGTGATACTTTCTTGATTCTAAAAAGTGTTTTTTTCAATGTAAAAGATACTTCATTAACTTGGAAAATTTTTTTTTTTAAATTACAAGTTGAATAATTTTTAAGCGCTGCATAATAATTTTTCAAGGAAAAAAAACAATTCTTCAAATTTGACGAAACTTTCCCAAATTACAAGCACTCGTAAATTATGCTAAATTAAGAAAATTATTTTTTTCCAAGTTACAACATCCCAAAATCATCATCCCAAAACATCATACACGATCAAACAACTGAGACCAACGATAAGTAATACGTATACCGTCCAAACGCACCCTAGAGCCCTAGATCAGACGCCAAAACGCACGTGGCGCTGAGTTGAGAAAAAACAAAAAAATAAATAAATTAAAGTAAAAAAAATGCACACCCAACACTCAACGAACGAAGATATGATAAAAAGGTACTCACGAGGAGCCTCATGTTTACTGTTTCTCGTTCAAAAGCTACGGGCTTCCGTTTGCTAGTGCTGCAGTACCTGCGTTTGTCCCAGCTGTCTCGGACCCAGCCTTATATAGTCCAGCAAACAATAAGTCCTCGCTAAACCCCCCCATGTTACGAAGCGCGAGCGCGCGCAACCTACTCCTTGCATGCACGTGCACACAACCTGTGCCTTTCCCTCCTCCTCCTCTCCTTCCACCTTCTCCCGGCCCCCTTCGCAACACCCTGCTAAACGTCCGCGAAAGGTTTACGGTTGTTGTTCTCTTATCGCGGCCCTCTCTTTCACTCCGAGCGAAAGAGGGACCGCCAATAAGACCCCTCCGCTGCACTTGCACTGATTTTGTAGATCCCTCTGCGTTGGATCATTCGACACGTGGTCCTTATGCGGGGGCGCCCTCCACTTATTTTGAGCTCTTCTCTGGATGCTATTATGTACACAGAGGCACTGGAAAATCGGGTAACAGGGATATCAGAGCTGCAGATCTTGTGTGTCCGAGCAACTGTGATTAGAAGAAGGACGAGTGTAGCTCATTGTTGTACGTGCGCCTAGAGAGTCGTGAGGATATATATATTTTTTTTTTTCTTTTCATGTCATTGTCGTGCATAAGGTCTATTTTGAACGAAATTTTTTCCCCTTCGAGTGTGATGAGTCCAGTCTGTAATTGTTACGTTGCTTCAAGGAAAATAGAGAAATTTATTCTTTGATCGTATATTTTTGCAATTCGACGGAGAAAAAGGAGCATTGCGTATCGAAATTGGTGCACCATTGGGCAAGTCCTTGCGCAAAACGAGCCGTGGTTGCGCCCACAGAGACACCGGGAGTTTGGACTTGCGTGTACAATCGTGCGTTAGCGAGGGGGAGTGTGAGGGAGGTGTGAAAATGAGGCGGATGGGTTTCGAAAATTTAGAGCAAAAACCAATGAAAAACGTATGTGTAAGTGTATTGCGCGATAAAAATTTATACGTTTAGGAAACGTCCGAGACTTTTTTGGGAATATCAATGGCAAAGGACCATTTATCGTTAAAACTAGTCAAACAATGTAGGAAAATCTAGCACACTTTTTGACCTTAGATACAAATTGGCAGTAACCATATTTTTTTGGCGCCCACTCTTGAAATTTGGGGTTGAAATAAATTTAAGCGACTAGGGTGAATTTATTAGTTTTGCGTGACCTGGATCACTCATACGTGACCCACGAGCTATTGAAACATTTTCAATGATTTAGAATTTGTACAAAACAAAAAAAAGCATATAGTTAAATGTTTACCTTGAGATGAATTATGTTCTAGTTATGTAGAACGCACGAGTGGGTTTTTCAAATCCATAAATCTTATTCTCAGTGGAGTGAGAAATTGACTGCAGATGCATGTTTGCCCTAAAAAAATCCTTGCATCCATTAAATTGTCGGTCAAAGCGGAACAAACCGTCCACACCCCTGTTAAGTCTGAAATTCCTCGGATTTCGATATTATTTGCGATTTGTTAGTATAAGACATGTTTCATAAGTCCAAATTTGGACTAATTCAGCTGGATTTTGTTCATCTAAACGCAACATTCGCATACGATCGATATCTCGTGTATAACAACACAGTACAAAACGAGTCGTGTAACAGGTACTGTTAACAACCTCATTCCAAATGCGGATTTGTAAAATAATGGATTGCGAAACGCATTTTCCTCGAATGCATGGGCACAGTCGAGTCCCGTATAATAAGAGCTAATGTGAAAG